TGCAAGTGCAGCTCCCATCTCTTTAAACGGGGAAACATCAAATACTCAAGCTGTTCACCATGCTTAAATTTCATATTTGAAATCACCAATGAAATCTGACAACTGTCTCATAAATCAAATAGCATTAAAACAAAGCTTCCGTCAATAGAGTGGCCATACCAAAGACTATAGAATACCCAAGACACGTAAACTCGTATAGTTTTGAATGTGGAAAAATGCAACACTCAATATGGCTGCTCTATCAAAGCCCCTCCTTCTGAATAAAAGAGCCAATCGCTAATTGGTAAAGAATTGGTAAAGACATTGCTCATATCACTGCAGCTGCCGTTAGAAGTCCCGGTTGCTATAGAGATTGTCAGCATTTGGGACTGCACATGCACACTAGGTGGTCTAGCCTGAAAAATAAGCTTTTTTCAACACTATTTGAGCAACAGAATCAACATTTATGAGACAGTTGTTGTCAGAATTAATTGGTGATATCAAATATGAAATTTAATCATAAGCTTGGCAAACAGTTTTGGAGAATTTGATGTTTCACCATTCAAATAGATAGGAGCTGCACTTGCATGCCCAAGAGGCATTTAAAAAATGGTCGCCGAGTGAAATGAATTGCATTAAAGGGACTTTGGCCATACGGAGCATTGCATTTTTCCCCATTCAAAACTATATGGGTGACACATCTTGGGTATTCTTCTGTAGTCTTTGGTGATACATAGAACCATTGTGTGAAGCAGTCATAGCCGTGCTTTATCATGAATGAAACACCGCATATGACCAATCAGCATCAAGGACTGGAAGTAAGCATTTTATAAGTAATAATAAATATTAATTAATACTAATTTCTTAATTTTATTTGTGCTATCTCCAAGTACAACTGTATATTATGCTTTGTTTTAGAGTTATTTATCTAAAACATCATACAATTTTTCTACACATTACTTTGGTGTTGTCTACATATAATTCTTTGTGTAGACCCTTTTGTTGCATGTGAAATAAACAACTGAAGATTTTACTGTTGTTTTCTTCTGTCTAGTTGGATGTCAGTTGTCTAGTTTGATGTCAGTTGGGTGGAAAAAGCTAAAAGCTTCATTTTGGACCAGATTTTTTAGTAAAATCATAAAGTTTCAGTTACTCTCTACTTAAATTACTTCGCTATACCCCTTTTCTGGTTTAGCAGTGTTGTTCTGTATCGACACAATCCATTAACAGATGCTTTTCTTTCAGGCAGTTTTCTCCAGAACTTGATTGTGGGTAAATATTGAATTTTCAGTCTTTAAGGAATAAATGTGCTTCTCATCAACAGACTTGCTGTCTCGTGTTTGACTCTGCTGAATTTGTGTATTGATCTACAGATCCATCACTTGTCCAACCCAATGCCATTTTATGTCTAGACTCTTTTGGAGTTTGTTAATCTCATCAGTTAATCTCTGTTTGTGGTATTTGGTCATGGAGAGAACAACAGTGTTCACAAAGGAGATTAGTTTGAACTGCTGAGGAAATGCCCTAAATTAGGTCCCTCTGGCCTAATTCAAGGGTCTGAGAGGATTGTGAAGTGTTGATAAACTGTTGCTAGAGCAATATGTGTAAGTGTTTAGACAGTCCCATGTGAGGATGTAGAGAGATATATCTGTTGATGCATAGTCTGTCTGTACTCCCAGAGCTGAGCTAGTGGACTAGTGACTCTCTGAGGACCTTGATAAGCTGACCAGACACAGTGCAACCCGGGCACATGAAAAATACAGTTTTGCATAACATTTCTTATTGCATGTTGTGCTATGGTTTCAAAGTGAAATGTCCAGTAAGTGGCACTAAAAAAGCATGTTCAGTTTCTCTTTTTACCTTGTTTTTACACACCTTTGAACTTTTTGTCAAACCCATGTTTCACAGGAGTTGTACCCGAGCACTCTGCATTGCATAAACAGTCAGTTTACTACAAAAGAAAACCTGTACATGGAGCTGAATATGTGATGCAAACGTTAAAATGTATTTGTTTACAAATCATGCATTATGGTAAAAGTGTTTTAGGTGATAACATAGTATTCTGCATGTAACCATGTGAAAATTTAGTCTTTGATAATCTGCCCTTTAATCATAATTTGATTAGTGTTCATTTTAGTTGAAATCTGCAGCAAATTGTATGTATAGGCAAGTTTTGCAAAAAATGTAGGTAGATACACCTACCTATATTGTGCACATCACAGAAAATTGCTGCAATATATGATGTGTCTCAATAAATGCTGTTCATTTGGTGGTTGTAACCGTTAGACTCCCAAAATATGAAGGCTCGATACAGCAGTGTGCTATAAAGCATAAATGTGACTTTATTTTGAAGTGTTCAGCGTTATCTCCACTGTCCAATTGAAGCAGCTGTATCAAGATGATCTGCTTAAAGGGATTTCTGTGTAAGATTTCGCCTCACCTGTCTTAAGTCTCTTAAGCCTTGACCTTTGTTATAATCAGCTTTCACATGCTGACCTAGGAAAAGAATGACCAGCTGTTCCCCCACCCAGTGTTCCCTCAGTGAAAGACTGAGAGCAAGCGATGAAGAATATGCAGCTTTACGCAAGGTTAATACCATATTAATGCAGTTTAGTTTGACAGATGCTGCTAAAGTCTCAGATGCTGTCTACATAAAGCCTAGTCCACACAGAACCGTCTGATTGACTGGTTGGTAAAATTACCAACCTCAGTCTTATATGACATTTAGGGGTGACTAACTCTTAATTAAGATATACCACAAATGCTACAGAAATAAAGTGGTAGCCCATTTCTGTTATGCTCACAAAGGCTGCATTTACTAAAAATAGTAATTTGATTTGATTTATTTATGCTTTTCCTATTTATTGCTTTATATGCTTTTCCTATTTATTCTGTCATTAATTACTCACCGTCATGTCGTTCCAAACCCGTAAGATCTTCGTTCACAAATTAAGATATTCTTAATATCCTGGTTTTATTTGTGCACAAAGTATTCTTGTAGTTTCGTAAAATTATGGTTGAACCCCTGATGTCACATGGACTATTTTACCGATGTCTTTGCTACATTTCCGGACCTGGGAACATTGCAGTTGTGTTGCTGTCTATGAAGGAGCTGAAAGCTCTCGCATTTCATCAAAAATATCTTAATTTTGTGTTCCGAAGATGAACGAAGGTATTACGGATTTGGAACGACATAAGGGTGAGTAACTAATGACAGAATTTTAATTTTTGGGTGAACTATTTACTAAGAGAAAGCAGGGAAAGTCAAGCCCATTTCTGAACGAGAGGTACCTTATACTCAGAGTCAGTTACCATTGTAAGCAGGTTTTCTTTGGTAAACCCAGTTTCTTTTCTTTTCACCCCCCCATTTTACATGCTGCAAAATGCTTTTGTTACAGAATATTTTGTAATCTAAATAAAGTGCATTTTACTTTAAACAAGAAAAGTCATCTTAATGCTAATGGAAACAAGATTATTTTTCTTAGCCCATTGGCAGATAATTTACAAAATAAGAAGAATACACTTAAAAGACTAAATACTTTGTCATTTTCTTAAGTAGAAAATGCATCTTGATTTAAGAATCTTTAGATATTTTGATTGGAAACAAGAAGACAAAAATAATAAGTAAGAAAAGCATTTTTTGCGGTGCAGGTACATTCATTCATTGCATTTTTTATCATGCAGACACTGTGAAAGTAACAAAGACGGCATGTCCTTTTATGCAGAATCATAGATGCATTATGCAGTAGATGAGGAGGCTGCATTAATAGGGAGTTACATTTACATTGGGAGAGGATGCATATTTATTTGAGCGGTACTATTTTTTAAATGGTAGTTTTCTATATAACATCAGGGATTCAGAGCACATTAGTAAGGCCACTGTATGCAAAGCGGTAAGGAAAGTGTGCCTCGCTCTCACCCTTTTTATGAGAATTTTTGTGTAGTTTCATGAGCACATTTAATTATGTGAAAAGAGGGTTAGACTATGTAGAAAAAGCTGCTGCACACTGAAATTGACACTGAAAGATATTTGTTTAATATGTCAAATGTTTGTAAAATCATGTAGCCTACACCCATGAACGTTTTATGCTTAAAGCTTTATCTGATTGAATTATGTTTTTATACTATGTTTAATATGTTTTAACCTACTGAGAGTGGATTGAACTAACTCAGTTCAGCTGTTCTGAAACCAAAAACTCAGAGTTTCCCATATCAGGGTAAGTCAACTCGGAGTTCAAGTTTCAACTCAAGAGTTGGTTGAACCTCCTTATTGAAACGGGCCCTAGAACACACAAAGCGCTGAAAGAAACTTCGCTTAGCACACCGTTATCTTTGTGTCTGGAACGTCTGTGTCGGCACGCGTTCTTATTGTTATCAGACTGAGGAGACACCAGAGCATGTGGATATTATTGTTTTTCTCAACATTAACATGTGAAACAATATAAACACAATAAACATAGGCTGACTCGAGTGTATGTTTGTTCTGTACTGTAATTGGCATGGCCTGCTTTAGTTTTTTCTATTTGCTCTGCTTGAGCTTGAATGCTTTTGTTCTTTATGTAGGCTATATATTTTTTTGTTTGTTTGCTTACACACGTTTTTGACTAAAAGAAAACCTTGTTGTAGAACATTGTTGTGTATATAATGCCTAATCATAAGCTTGTTCAGAAATGGTGACAAACTGATTATAAAAAATAAAAAAAACATCTTTCTCGTTAAATGTCATTTAAATAAACGTATATTCAAATATTTGAATATTCATTTTTTTATGAGCACAGATATTTGAATACGGTATTTTTGAAAAATGCCCATCCCAGTTGAAAACAGCTGTGCTGCTTAATATTTTTGTGGGAACCATGATACATTTTTCGTCTTTTGTAACGTTATAAATACCTGATTAATGTAATGCATTCTTGATGAATAGAAGTGTAAATGTCTTTACAAATTTCTTACTGACTAAAAAATAGTAGTAGTGCATATTTTAATTACCATCATATGTACTTTTTCTCTTCTCATTACAGAGTGCTGCTGCGGCACCCAGTCCAGTCCTAGGCAACATGCCCCCCGGTGACAGCATGCCGGGTGGACCCATGCCCCCCGGGTTCTTCCAGGTGGGTCATTCCTCCTCACCCTCTCCATAAACCATCTGTAACAATCTGACGGTAAGCCCTCAGGGTTTCAGACACGTGCCGTGCCACTGGTTCACAGAGAAACCATTATTCCACGGTCTCTGGTCTTCTGCCAAGCTGGGTGTCTGCGGGGAACCAGTCTGATTGCGACCATTAGCCGCTAATGGCAGGCAGGGTCATGTGCATTCTCTACTCTGAGAGTGGGCTCGCCGTTGCCCTGCTGAGTAGCCCTAAATGTGTTGGTGGGATGTACCTTCAGCAGTGGAGTTAACGCTTTATCACTCAGAAGCTTTCTGAGAGGGTGACTCATCACAATATCGTAATGAGTTCTAGGAAAATATTTATGGATGAAAAGATGTTTATGATTATATTTTTGAAGGAAGCATATGGAGAAATCTTTGTCAGACCAGATGGAATCATTACCCTCCAAGAGCTTTTGTGGGAATGCAGCATGGCACAGATTTTCAGATACTGAGAGCTGCAGAACATGGAACTGGTTTATGCAAGTTCTGAAACGTGTATCAGTGGATATGCAGAAAAATGTTGAACAGTTGAGTGTCTTTGGTCTTTTAGACCACGGTTAAACCCCATTGCCCTCTAGTGGTGACATGAATGATGATTTGTAAAAACATGTACTTAGTTATTATTCTTTTGTATTTCTGTAGAAATATCTAAACATCCTTAAAACCTGATGAATTTTCTTGAGAATAAAAATATTTTTTATGTAAATTAATAGAAAAAAATGCTATTATGTGTCTCAAATTTAGTGAGGAGAAAAACTTCAAGATATATTCTATGAAGATATATTCTGAAGATATATTCTATAGAAAATTACTGCATAAAATTTGTTCTAGACCATTAATACTGTGATTCACAGGACTATGATTCACATAATGTTTTGCAATGTCTATCAACCAATCAGAATCAAAATCGATTAAAAATTAATTCAACCACACTGTGGTGTAATTGAAAGAAGTTTCTTATGCTCACTGAGGCTGCATGTATTCGATAAAAATTACAATAACATTGTAACATATTACAATTTAAAATATTTTTTTTAATTTGAATATATTTAAATCTATATTTTGAAATGTTATTTATTTCGGTGTAAAGCTGAATTTTCAGCGGCCATAAAGTTCTTCAGTGTTGCATGATCCTTCAGAAATCATTTTAATATTCTGATTTGGTGCTCAAGAAACATTTCTTATAATTGTCAATGTTGAAAACAATTTTTGTGCAAACCTTGATGCATTTTTCTCAGGATTCTTTGATCAATAGAAAGTTCAAAAGGACACCATTTATTTGAAATAGAAATATTTTGTACCGTTATAAACGTATTTACAGTCACTTTGGATTATTTAATGCATTCTTGCTGAATAGAAGTATTATTGTCTTTAAAAAAAACTTACACACGTTTTTGACTAAAAGAAAACCTTGTTGTAGAACATTGTTGTGTATATAATGCCTAATCATAAGCTTGTTCAGAAATGGTGACAAACTGATTATAAAAAATAAAAAAAACATCTTTCTCGTTAAATGTCATTTAAATAAACGTATATTCAAATATTTGAATATTCATTTTTTTATGAGCACAGATATTTGAATACGGTATTTTTGAAAAATGCCCATCCCAGTTGAAAACAGCTGTGCTGCTTAATATTTTTGTGGGAACCATGATACATTTTTCGTCTTTTGTAACGTTATAAATACCTGATTAATGTAATGCATTCTTGATGAATAGAAGTGTAAATGTCTTTACAAATTTCTTACTGACTAAAAAATAGTAGTAGTGCATATTTTAATTACCATCATATGTACTTTTTCTCTTCTCATTACAGAGTGCTGCTGCGGCACCCAGTCCAGTCCTAGGCAACATGCCCCCCGGTGACAGCATGCCGGGTGGACCCATGCCCCCCGGGTTCTTCCAGGTGGGTCATTCCTCCTCACCCTCTCCATAAACCATCTGTAACAATCTGACGGTAAGCCCTCAGGGTTTCAGACACGTGCCGTGCCACTGGTTCACAGAGAAACCATTATTCCACGGTCTCTGGTCTTCTGCCAAGCTGGGTGTCTGCGGGGAACCAGTCTGATTGCGACCATTAGCCGCTAATGGCAGGCAGGGTCATGTGCATTCTCTACTCTGAGAGTGGGCTCGCCGTTGCCCTGCTGAGTAGCCCTAAATGTGTTGGTGGGATGTACCTTCAGCAGTGGAGTTAACGCTTTATCACTCAGAAGCTTTCTGAGAGGGTGACTCATCACAATATCGTAATGAGTTCTAGGAAAATATTTATGGATGAAAAGATGTTTATGATTATATTTTTGAAGGAAGCATATGGAGAAATCTTTGTCAGACCAGATGGAATCATTACCCTCCAAGAGCTTTTGTGGGAATGCAGCATGGCACAGATTTTCAGATACTGAGAGCTGCAGAACATGGAACTGGTTTATGCAAGTTCTGAAACGTGTATCAGTGGATATGCAGAAAAATGTTGAACAGTTGAGTGTCTTTGGTCTTTTAGACCACGGTTAAACCCCATTGCCCTCTAGTGGTGACATGAATGATGATTTGTAAAAACATGTACTTAGTTATTATTCTTTTGTATTTCTGTAGAAATATCTAAACATCCTTAAAACCTGATGAATTTTCTTGAGAATAAAAATATTTTTTATGTAAATTAATAGAAAAAAATGCTATTATGTGTCTCAAATTTAGTGAGGAGAAAAACTTCAAGATATATTCTATGAAGATATATTCTGAAGATATATTCTATAGAAAATTACTGCATAAAATTTGTTCTAGACCATTAATACTGTGATTCACAGGACTATGATTCACATAATGTTTTGCAATGTCTATCAACCAATCAGAATCAAAATCGATTAAAAATTAATTCAACCACACTGTGGTGTAATTGAAAGAAGTTTCTTATGCTCACTGAGGCTGCATGTATTCGATAAAAATTACAATAACATTGTAACATATTACAATTTAAAATATTTTTTTTAATTTGAATATATTTAAATCTATATTTTGAAATGTTATTTATTTCGGTGTAAAGCTGAATTTTCAGCGGCCATAAAGTTCTTCAGTGTTGCATGATCCTTCAGAAATCATTTTAATATTCTGATTTGGTGCTCAAGAAACATTTCTTATAATTGGCTATGCTGCTGAAAATTTTTGTGCAAACCTTGATGCATTTTTCTCAGGATTCTTTGATCAATATAAAGTTCAAAAGGACACCATTTATTTGAAATAGAAATATTTTGTACCGTTATAAACGTATTTACAGTCACTTTGGATTATTTAATGCATTCTTGCTGAATAGAAGTATTATTGTCTTTAAAAAAAATCTTACTGACCCCAAACATTGGTTTGGTATTGTACATCTTGAACACATGTAAATGATTTATAGCTTGAAACATAAAGCAAAATGGGGGGGGGGATGCATCTAGCAATGTAATTTTGCATAGATTGAAGCAAAACCACTTTAGAATGAAGAGTGACATCAGCTCAAACTATCTTTTGCCTTTGGCTCTGTTCTCTTCATCTGCACCTGTCACTTTCACCTGTCATGTCTTTGAATTTGCGCTGTCTTTCTCTTGGCATTTTGCTGCTGATACTATGGCAACCTTCTCTTCCTCCCCCTACCCTCTTTGCAGGGACCACCTGGTTCCCAACCCTCCCCTCACACTCAGCTAGCTCCCAACCCTAACATGATGGGGGCGCATGGACAGGTAACAGCACACATATCTATGTACACGTTCTCTCTGTTTATATGGTTATGCATGTTACCTGCACACATCCCGATATGTTTTTCCTAAAATATTCTGTTTTCCTTCCTCCTCTCCTTTAGCTTTTGTATTGGTTACATGCTGTTAAAAAAAATTTACTGTAAAAAATAAAAGTTACTGTATGTTCCCATATTCAGCCTTTTATGTCTCCTCGCTATGCTGGAGGACCTCGGCCACCCATCAGAATGGGTAACCCGGTAAGTCACATTAAAATGTTTTAAATAACTGTTTATTGACTTTGACTTATTTTAGCACTTGACTGTCTCTGTTTCTTTAGCCTCCAGGTGGGCAGCCTTTACCTCCAAATATGATGGACCCTACACGACCAACAGGTAAGAGACTAATGGGATCAGTGTTTGTTTGAAGGTGAAAGTCCCTTATTTATTTTACAAGTAGACTTCAAATTCAATTCGCCATTGTCATTTCATTTTGATGTGCAGGTCTGTTAAATTTTAAAATTGTGTTATTATTTGGTCAGGCCATCCAAATCTGGCACCTATGCAGAGAATGAATGCTCCTCGAGGAATGGGCCCGATGGGACCGGGACCACAGGTCTGGCTCTTATACTGTCCTAAAGCTCAACTTCACAACTGTCATTCATGAAAATCTGAGTATCTTTGCCTTAGACCCCATCAATTAGTTTTACTTACTTCTAGGACTGGACAATGTAGCTAAAACAATTGTATATCAATGTATTTTACCTCAGTATTTAATGTACATCGTATACGCATACTGTATGCACGTATTATTAAAATAAATTAATAGTTTTATTAAGCAAAGAAGCAAGAATGACAATAAAGACCTTTTATAATGTTACAAAAGATTCCTACTTCAAATAAATGCTGTTGTTTTAAAAGTTCTATTCATCCAGAGCATCCTGAAAAAATTACCAGTTTCCACAAATATATTAGCAACACAACTGTTTTTAACACTGATAATGATAATAAATGTTTCTTGAGCACCAACTCGGCATATCAGAATTATTTGTGAAGAATAATGTGACACTGAATACTAATAATTCAGCTTTTCGTCACAGAAATAAATTGTTTTAAAACATATTTAAATGCAGCCTAGGTGAGTATAAGAAACTATACTACTGTTAAAAAAATTAAAAAATAATTACATGCATACATAAATATATAAAGAAATGTTTTTGAAAACAAATGTAGTCAAATGTAGTCTGAATGTTTATTGCAAGAGGTAAAATACAGTAAAACATAGTTAAACATAATCAAGGCAAGTTTTATGATAAAGATATGATTTTATGATAAAGATTTTTAAGATAAAAATGGTAGCCGTTTATAATTTTATTTTATATGCACTAATACTAAAGTTACAAAAAAAAACTGATATTTACAAATATATTTTTACTGAAACATTTTAATAGTTGTTTGTTTGAGGAACAAGGCAAGTGAAATATTAAATCAATTGTCTTACTCTTACACCAATTTTCTGAATGCACCTCTTGTGTTTGTTCAGTTTTTTGTATGGCATCCACACATTCACAGTCATTACTACAGCTTATCGGCCGAATTCCATAAATTATGTTCAACCTGTTTTCCTCTAAACTAACTGTGTCCTTGTTTTCTCCTTTCTCATGGTGTCTTCTCGGGGTGCTGGGCATCGTAGTCTGATCCTTGGTTATCATTACAGAGCTATGGAGGAGGAATGAGGCCTCCAAACTCCATGGGCGCTGGAATGCCAGGGGTGAACATGTAAGGACACTCTCAGTCTGTTGTATTTGTGGAATTTTACATTGTCAGGCTGGTCAGGATGTTCAAACAAACAGTAATGTTTTGATAGCACCCAGAGACCCCAGGAGAATTAACTTCTTCGTCTCTGCATATTAAATTCGGAAAGGAATTTTTTTTTACGCTGTAAATCCTGACATGAAATAATAGTCAGAAAAATATTTTATTGAACCATTAGACAAAATATGTATTAAAAAAAAAAATCTACATAAAAAATTTTTTGACATGTTTTTTGTTGAGTATCATATCTGATAATGCAGGCTTTTATGGCTCTTACAGTATGATATAGGAGAATATTGAGCTTATATTTGTAAAAAAATTAAATAAAAATCACCCAAAACAAGCAAACAATATGCAATTTGCAATTTTTTATTTAGACTTTATTTAAATTCTTGAGCGTTCATTGTGATCTTACATACAAGAGACTTATTTGATGTTCTTACCAAAGTTAAAAAATAGAAACTGCTCTGTTTCTCTGTACAGGGGAGCAGGAGCAGGTAGACCGTGGCCTAATCCTAATAACGGAAACACAGTAAGATACTTCAGAAAATTGAGCTGATTCTATTAGAGGGGGAATTAGTGATTTCTGGCAAACTTGGCTGATAAATAACCTTTTGGCTTCACAGATACCATATTCCTCATCATCCCCAGGAACATATCTGGTAATTGACCATTTCCTTTTCCTTCTTTTATTTTATTGTCTGTTTTGAAAGAAACTGGTTGCAGTTCTGCTTTCACAGGGTCCTCCAGGAGGAGCAGGAGGTGGTGGATGTCCTCCAGGAACACCCATCATGCCAAGTCCAGCAGGTAATGGCTTGTCACATTTCTGTCTGCTGGCCCTTTGCCATAGAAACGGTGCCTGGCTAGGGGTTGTGAGAATAGAGTTTTATGGTGACTCTTTAAAAAGCATAAACCTCCACCTCTGTGTTCACAGACTCCACTAACTCAGGTGAAAACCTCTACACATTGATCAACTCCGTACCACCAGGGGGGAACAGATCTAATGTGAGTTACTCCACTCCTCTGCTGTCTTTGTCATGTAGTGTTGATGTTTCTGTTTTAGTACTTGAACTCTGATTGTGTCTTAATCTCTCTATAAATGCTGTCTTGACATGTGTGTTTGTAGTTTCCTATGGGTCCTGGGTCAGATGGACCAATGGGAGGACTGGAACCACATCACATGAATGGCTCACTGGGTAAAACACCATTCACCATAGCAACTACATAAATTGTTGAAAACATCTTTTACCCTTGCAGTTAGATAAATGAACATCATGTGATCTGCAAATGATTGTTGATTCATTTTTACTTTTCTCACAGGTACGGTTGACATAGATGGACTCCCAAAGGTATTATTAAACCTATTATTTAGACTTATTATTTCTTTTGAAATGGTGTTAAAACTAGCAGTTAGAATGTTAGAATCCAAACTGAACTTTGCTAAAGGATTTGGGATAGGATGATTTTAAAATAATAATTAAATAATAATAATAATAAATAATAAAAATAAATAATTCGTGCGCGCCTCAAAAGAGGGCTTACAATTTGTAAGACATTTTAAGTTACAAAGATACACAACAGCTACAAGTGTATGCACTACTTGCTTTGTGCAAGCACTATACAGGATAAATCACTATACAGGATTTACCCTATTATACTTTATCGACACGAATTGATAGGTGAAACAACAAACAGCCACCCACAAATAGTCTATAAACAAAGCATCAGGCTGTCTTTGAGTTCACATGAACAACGGTTAACTGCTGAAAATTTTTGTGCAAACCTTGATGCATTTTTCTCAGGATTCTTTGATCAATAGAAAGTTCAAAAGGACACCATTTATTTGAAATAGAAATATTTTGTACCGTTATAAACGTATTTACAGTCACTTTGGATTATTTAATGCATTCTTGCTGAATAGAAGTATTATTGTCTTTAAAAAAAATCTTACTGACCCCAAACATTGGTTTGGTATTGTACATCTTGAACACATGTAAATGATTTATAGCTTGAAACATAAAGCAAAATGGGGGGGGGGATGCATCTAGCAATGTAATTTTGCATAGATTGAAGCAAAACCACTTTAGAATGAAGAGTGACATCAGCTCAAACTATCTTTTGCCTTTGGCTCTGTTCTCTTCATCTGCACCTGTCACTTTCACCTGTCATGTCTTTGAATTTGCGCTGTCTTTCTCTTGGCATTTTGCTGCTGATACTATGGCAACCTTCTCTTCCTCCCCCTACCCTCTTTGCAGGGACCACCTGGTTCCCAACCCTCCCCTCACACTCAGCTAGCTCCCAACCCTAACATGATGGGGGCGCATGGACAGGTAACAGCACACATATCTATGTACACGTTCTCTCTGTTTATATGGTTATGCATGTTACCTGCACACATCCCGATATGTTTTTCCTAAAATATTCTGTTTTCCTTCCTCCTCTCCTTTAGCTTTTGTATTGGTTACATGCTGTTAAAAAAAATTTACTGTAAAAAATAAAAGTTACTGTATGTTCCCATATTCAGCCTTTTATGTCTCCTCGCTATGCTGGAGGACCTCGGCCACCCATCAGAATGGGTAACCCGGTAAGTCACATTAAAATGTTTTAAATAACTGTTTATTGACTTTGACTTATTTTAGCACTTGACTGTCTCTGTTTCTTTAGCCTCCAGGTGGGCAGCCTTTACCTCCAAATATGATGGACCCTACACGACCAACAGGTAAGAGACTAATGGGATCAGTGTTTGTTTGAAGGTGAAAGTCCCTTATTTATTTTACAAGTAGACTTCAAATTCAATTCGCCATTGTCATTTCATTTTGATGTGCAGGTCTGTTAAATTTTAAAATTGTGTTATTATTTGGTCAGGCCATCCAAATCTGGCACCTATGCAGAGAATGAATGCTCCTCGAGGAATGGGCCCGATGGGACCGGGACCACAGGTCTGGCTCTTATACTGTCCTAAAGCTCAACTTCACAACTGTCATTCATGAAAATCTGAGTATCTTTGCCTTAGACCCCATCAATTAGTTTTACTTACTTCTAGGACTGGACAATGTAGCTAAAACAATTGTATATCAATGTATTTTACCTCAGTATTTAATGTACATCGTATACGCATACTGTATGCACGTATTATTAAAATAAATTAATAGTTTTATTAAGCAAAGAAGCAAGAATGACAATAAAGACCTTTTATAATGTTACAAAAGATTCCTACTTCAAATAAATGCTGTTGTTTTAAAAGTTCTATTCATCCAGAGCATCCTGAAAAAATTACCAGTTTCCACAAATATATTAGCAACACAACTGTTTTTAACACTGATAATGATAATAAATGTTTCTTGAGCACCAACTCGGCATATCAGAATTATTTGTGAAGAATAATGTGACACTGAATACTAATAATTCAGCTTTTCGTCACAGAAATAAATTGTTTTAAAACATATTTAAATGCAGCCTAGGTGAGTATAAGAAACTATACTACTGTTAAAAAAATTAAAAAATAATTACATGCATACATAAATATATAAAGAAATGTTTTTGAAAACAAATGTAGTCAAATGTAGTCTGAATGTTTATTGCAAGAGGTAAAATACAGTAAAACATAGTTAAACATAATCAAGGCAAGTTTTATGATAAAGATATGATTTTATGATAAAGATTTTTAAGATAAAAATGGTAGCCGTTTATAATTTTATTTTATATGCACTAATACTAAAGTTACAAAAAAAAACTGATATTTACAAATATATTTTTACTGAAACATTTTAATAGTTGTTTGTTTGAGGAACAAGGCAAGTGAAATATTAAATCAATTGTCTTACTCTTACACCAATTTTCTGAATGCACCTCTTGTGTTTGTTCAGTTTTTTGTATGGCATCCACACATTCACAGTCATTACTACAGCTTATCGGCCGAATTCCATAAATTATGTTCAACCTGTTTTCCTCTAAACTAACTGTGTCCTTGTTTTCTCCTTTCTCATGGTGTCTTCTCGGGGTGCTGGGCATCGTAGTCTGATCCTTGGTTATCATTACAGAGCTATGGAGGAGGAATGAGGCCTCCAAACTCCATGGGCGCTGGAATGCCAGGGGTGAACATGTAAGGACACTCTCAGTCTGTTGTATTTGTGGAATTTTACATTGTCAGGCTGGTCAGGATGTTCAAACAAACAGTAATGTTTTGATAGCACCCAGAGACCCCAGGAGAATTAACTTCTTCGTCTCTGCATATTAAATTCGGAAAGGAATTTTTTTTTACGCTGTAAATCCTGACATGAAATAATAGTCAGAAAAATATTTTATTGAACCATTAGACAAAATATGTATTAAAAAAAAAAATCTACATAAAAAATTTTTTGACATGTTTTTTGTTGAGTATCATATCTGATAATGCAGGCTTTTATGGCTCTTACAGTATGATATAGGAGAATATTGAGCTTATATTTGTAAAAAAATTAAATAAAAATCACCCAAAACAAGCAAACAATATGCAATTTGCAATTTTTTATTTAGACTTTATTTAAATTCTTGAGCGTTCATTGTGATCTTACATACAAGAGACTTATTTGATGTTCTTACCAAAGTTAAAAAATAGAAACTGCTCTGTTTCTCTGTACAGGGGAGCAGGAGCAGGTAGACCGTGGCCTAATCCTAATAACGGAAACACAGTAAGATACTTCAGAAAATTGAGCTGATTCTATTAGAGGGGGAATTAGTGATTTCTGGCAAACTTGGCTGATAAATAACCTTTTGGCTTCACAGATACCATATTCCTCATCATCCCCAGGAACATATCTGGTAATTGACCATTTCCTTTTCCTTCTTTTATTTTATTGTCTGTTTTGAAAGAAACTGGTTGCAGTTCTGCTTTCACAGGGTCCTCCAGGAGGAGCAGGAGGTGGTGGATGTCCTCCAGGAACACCCATCATGCCAAGTCCAGCAGGTAATGGCTTGTCACATTTCTGTCTGCTGGCCCTTTGCCATAGAAACGGTGCCTGGCTAGGGGTTGTGAGAATAGAGTTTTATGGTGACTCTTTAAAAAGCATAAACCTCCACCTCTGTGTTCACAGACTCCACTAACTCAGGTGAAAACCTCTACACATTGATCAACTCAGTACCACCAGGGGGGAACAGATCTAATGTGAGTTACTCCACTCCTCTGCTGTCTTTGTCATGTAGTGTTGATGTTTCTGTTTTAGTACTTGAACTCTGATTGTGTCTTAATCTCTCTATAAATGCTGTCTTGACATGTGTGTTTGTAGTTTCCTATGGGTCCTGGGTCAGATGGACCAATGGGAGGACTGGAACCACATCACATGAATGGCTCACTGGGTAAAACACCATTCACCATAGCAACTACATAAATTGTTGAAAACATCTTTTACCCTTGCAGTTAGATAAATGAACATCATGTGATCTGCAAATGATTGTTGATTCATTTTTACTTTTCTCACAGGTACGGTTGACATAGATGGACTCCCAAAGGTATTATTAAACCTATTATTTAGACTTATTATTTCTTTTGAAATGGTGTTAAAACTAGCAGTTAGAATGTTAGAATCCAAACTGAACTTTGCTAAAGGATTTGGGATAGGATGATTTTAAAATAATAATTAAATAATAATAATAATAAATAATAAAAATAAATAATTCGTGCGCGCCTCAAAAGAGGGCTTACAATTTGTAAGACATTTTAAGTTACAAAGATACACAACAGCTACAAGTGTATGCACTACTTGCTTTGTGCAAGCACTATACAGGATAAATCACTATACAGGATTTACCCTATTATACTTTATCGACACGAATTGATAGGTGAAACAACAAACAGCCACCCACAAATAGTCTATAAACAAAGCATCAGGCTGTCTTTGAGTTCACATGAACAACGGTTAACGTAAAGTTACTCTTCGTCAGGCTACAGAAGAATACCATAATTCCTCCGTTCAGTTAGGCCTAAGACATCGAGAGTCACGCAGACCTATAACAACCCAGCCACAACACATAATTACAAATAACATGCCTTACCTTAACACAGAATCGACCACAGAGTCCAACGTTTATATTTTTTCTACACGAGTGGAATTTGCACCGCAGCGCCCCCCACACCTTGATGCTCATGAAAAGAATAGCATGTATAGTTATCTTTATTGAAGTGAATTAGGTTTAGTCACGCATGAATGAATTATATTTTTGCAATTTTACACATAACAATCCACAATGATCACATTACTCAAAACTGAAATTGCATGTCAAAATTACACATTGTCAATATTTTTGAGACCTCCCAAAATTTCACAAATCCCGTTTTCAGGGGATCCCATGTCTTATTAAGGGGAGCCTAGCTCCCCCGTAGTTCGCACCCTGATTATAAGCTTTACAATTGGTAAAAAGTCAACTGTTACAATTAGAATAATAAGCGTTTCCGTTTATCACAGAAAACCTGGAAATATCAGGGAATTTAAAATTTGTCATTTCCAAGTTTGGGAAGATCAGGGAAAATCATAGTCTTGGAAATTTTTATGTAGAATATACACTACCATTCAAATGTTTGGGTGAGTGAGATTTTCTGTATTTAAAAGAAATTAATTCTTATTTTAGCAAGGATGCATTCAATTGATCAAAAGTGACACTAGAAACTTGTAGTTTCCCAAAAATGTGTATTTCAAATAAATGCTGTTCTTTTATTTATCAAAGAATCCTGACAACAAAATTTCCATAAAATTATTAAACAACACTGGTAAGAATGATTTCTGAAGGATCATGTGACACTGAAGTAATTGCTGCTGGAAATTCCGCTTTGCCATGACAGAAATAATTGATATTTTAAAATATATCCAAATAAAGAAGTTAATATTTATACAGTTCTAATGTATTTTCGATCAAATAAATGCAGTCTTTCAAAAACACTTCAGAAATCTTACTCCATAAATTTGAATGGTAATGTACATCAGAAATTGTTCTTTGTGAATGCAATCGCAGTTATTTGGAAAAATATATATAGAATTTTTTTTAAATCCTGGAAATTCTTTGGTTAAAATGTGTGGAAATTCTGTATAATGGATTTGAAGTTTGTTATTATAAGTTTATCAATTATAGGTTGTTAAATATTTGTGTTCTATAGTTGTCAATAAATAATAAAACGCGACAGATCATTTAGGCCCAATTAATCTTAGCAATGATGGCTTTTAGATGTTACGTGCCTATAATTATACATTTTATTCTCAAAAGTGTTTCATCCAATAGAAGCATCATTAAACTAAAGAATACTGCTGACTGACATCTTGATGGAGTTTTCTTCTTTACAATCTCAGAACTCTCCTAATAATCTAAGCAGCATGATAAATCCACCAGGAACGCCACGAGATGACAGTGAATTAGGAGGAAGTTTCCTACACTCTTTCCAAAATGAAAACGTGAGTGCCAAAACAAACATATGACTTGATGGATTTTGGGGGGCCTGTATAAATGAACTTTTCTCTTCCTTCAGTACTCACCGACAATGACAATGAGTGTGTGAAGGATGAGCTCCAGCACCAAGACACCACATGTCTTAAAGAACAAGGACCAACCTCACCAAGAACCAGTTGAGTCTAACCTCACACATCCATAGGAACCAAATCCTACCGCAGCTCTGGATGAGGGTGGATGCTTCTCATTTCAGCACGGATAGAGGAAGGACCTGTCTGAGATGAGAGCTCCATCATTTTAAACCACTCCAATATTTTCATATAACTTTAACATAGAAGCCCACACACACCAAGACAACATAAATTTGCTTCTTTTTGTTAAGTGGATCTCAAAATTTCAGGACCATGACAACATTTACACTGTGGATGTAGTGCAGAATACTATGTACTTCAGCGAGGATGTGCAGCATGTGTGTAACATTCCATTAAGAGTATTTTAGGATCTACACCTTAGGCTACAGTAGATTTGATATGCACCAATGCGAATGACAAAAAAATCTAGCATTCTGCTATAATTTCCTTCATCGCATACTTGGGGAAATACAATGGACTGTTAGCTAAATAAAATTACTACTTCTGTTCAATGTCATGATATTTTATAACAATGGATTTTACTGCTAAAGCCTTTTAATGAGCCTAATGTGGGACATTTTTCCATGGGACACTCAGAAGATGACATGAAATCAAGAGTTGTTGTGTTTGACCAAACTCCCACCCAAAAACACACTTCATCATGCAACACTGCATCTTTTCTCACTGGCTTGGTTTTCATTTTCCTTTGTGCCATTGTAGTGTTTTGACCCATTGCTGTTTGCCTTTAGTCACAGTTAAAAACGTGCCGCTAACACCCAAAAGACAGTTATTTAACTAAACTTAGCCAAGAAGGAATGCCCTCTCACATTCAACTGCTTTTATTTCCTTCAAATATTTTGAGATGTGTAAATATTTGTATTAACAATTTCAACAGCTGAGACAAACTGAACAAGTTTCACAGATGTGGTGAACAGAAATGGAATACTGAGTCCCTGAATAAAGGGGGTGTCTATATCAAAAGTAAAAAGTCTTGTGTGACCACCACACTAAGGTATTTGCAAGTTCCTGAGCTTCTGGGGGGACACGTGGTTAGCCACTGTGAGGATGATTAGCTGTCCTTCCTATCGCCCTGTTCAATGAACAAGCTTGAAAAACATTGTTTAAACACTTTCCAAAAAATTGGATTTTGTAAAATTATCTTTAAAATATAGTATGCTGAAAAAGGGGTGATTCATTTTTTTTGCTGAGTTTATATATTTTAAGTTTCTCTTCCCTAGTCTGTCTTAATATTGTACCGCCTTACTTGACCTGTTACATCATGTTGTTTAGCCTTTACTGTATGTATTATGTTCCTTGGAATACACAGTGAAATGACTTGTGTAATTTTTATGATTAAATTATTTTTTTGTTCATACAACTATTTCAAGTCTCATCTCTTCTGCAAGTAAATATGTATAATAACAAATGTTTCTGTCAATATTAGTTAAGAGACATTCAAATGAACAGTCATGGTTAGTCTCAACGGCCAACATTTTATTCACAGTTCTTAATTATTTTTTCAATTATGGGAGTTTGACATATTAAAATAATTCTGGCATATTTCTGGCAAAGGTGCTTTGGTCTGTTCACACTGCTCCTTGTAAATAAAGTGCCAGGAACTTCTTGAAGGTGTTAGGCTGATATCCCGACAAACCAGCAGGGACCTATAATGAAGAGCATGACATGTTCAGTCGACAAAGCTTGACACTAGGGCTGCACGATAAATCGCATGCGATATTTAACGCGCATCTCCTCAGAAAGCCGGTTCTGTAATCAGTGGTAAATCTCCATCACCTGCGGGCTTTCACATTGAGCAGCATTAACTACACTGAGCCGTTGTTCACTGACGAGCTGCGCAAAAAATCGCGCGAATATGAACGTGGTTTCGCGCAGCTCGTCAGTGAACAAGGGCTCTGTGTAGTTCAGGGATCCACAAATCTGGCCCACGAGATCCACTTTCCTGCAGAGTTTAGCTCTAACCCTAATCAAACACACCTGAGCATGCTAATCAATGTCTTCAGGATCATTAGAAAATCACAGGTAGCGGAGTTTGATCAGGGTTGGAGCTAAACTCTGCAGCGCATTGGACCTCCAGGGTAAGATTTGCATTAACTACATTAATGCTGCTCAATGTGAAAACCCGCAGGTGATGGAGATTTACCGCTGATTACAGAACCGGCTTTACTGATAAGATGCGCGTTAAACATCGCATGCGATTTATCGTGCATCCCTACTTGACACCACCCTCTTATACATCACAACTCAGTTAGTGGAATTCTAATTTGTTGAGCACAGAATTCCAAGTATTGTTCAGCACTTTCTAAGCAAGTAACGTTTCCTTGTAAGCAAAAAATAAACAGTGGCTTTCTGCACAGCACAATTCGTCTGAGATAGTCAAAACAAATGTTTAACCACATTTAATATCAACTAACTAAATTTAAGAACCCTGCCATTAAATAAAGTTGAAATATTTGTTGGATAGGCCATACACTACAGATTTTTCAAAATATTTTTGACTTAAGTCTTTTATGCTTACCTAGGCTGAATTTATGTGATTAAAAAAAAAACAGTAATATTGTGATGTAATGTTATGTTTAAAAAAAGCCACACAACTCGTTAAACATCGCATGCGATTTATCGTGCATCCCTACTTGACACCACCCTCTTATACATCACAACTCAGTTAGTGGAATTCTAATTTGTTGAGCACAGAATTCCAAGTATTGTTCAGCACTTTCTAAGCAAGTAACGTTTCCTTGTAAGCAAAAAATAAACAGTGGCTTTCTGCACAGCAAAATTCGTCTGAGATAGTCAAAACAAATGTTTAACCACATTTAATATCAACTAACTAAATTTAAGAACCCTGCCATTAAATAAAGTTGAAATATTTGTTGGATAGGCCATACACTACAGATTTTTCAAAATATTTTTGACTTAAGTCTCTTATGCTTACCTAGGCTGAATTTATGTGATTAAAAAAAAACAGTAATATTGTGATGTAATGTTATGTTTAAAAAAAGCCACACAACTGTTTGTTTGTTTTTTCCACAATTTGCAGCATTTATTTAAAATATAATTTTTTGTAACATCATTAATGCCTTACTGTCACAATCAATTTAATGCACTATTTATAAAAGTATTAATTTCTTTAAAGCCAAATCTTGATAGTCAAAGTTAATTTATCTAAATGAACTCCTTACCTGCACAACTTTCTTCTTGATAAGAGGCTTGACCTTGGCAAACTCATAGAGAGGCTGGTCCTCGTCCACCCATGCCAGATTCTTCACTCCACTGTCAGACTGCAGGTCAGTCGTGTTGAGCTGAAACACCACAAACTGGAATAGACGGCCATTAGTGGCCACGCTCTGCACCACGATGGGCTTCTCCAGGACACTGGGCTCCTTCTGCAAAAAGATGAGAGAACATCTGGAAACTACTTTTTTGCCTTATATCATTACTGACAAACTCAACTGAACATGCAGAGTACAAAGAAGCAAGATCATATTTAACAGTTTTTTTACTAAATTAACACAAGGAAGAATTATCTAGAATATTGTTTATTTCTATGTGCCAACATAGGAAAACAAAGTAACAAACACCACTTATTTATCTACATACATTTTGCACTAAAAGAATGCCATTTGGAGATCTGGAGATTTTAACATTTTTTACTGATGTTAAAAACATTGAAACAGTTTGAACGGATTCACAACAATTAGCAGTATATACAGCCTTGTTTAAGACCAAGGAAAAATTGTGTTGAATATATATATTTTTTTTTTCAGGATTCTTTGATAAATAGAAAGTTTGAAAGAACTGCATAAATTTTAAACAAATTTTTTCCGGTTGAAGTATTTACTGTCACATTTGAAAAATTTCATGCATCCTTGTTGAATAAAAGTATTAATTTCTTAACAGAAAATAAAGAGAAAAATCTTATTGACCCAAAACCTTTGAACAGCAGTGTACATCGTGTTGCCAAGCCCTTATCAATAGTTGAAATCAATGTTTTAATGATGCAAGGATCTTACCCCATACAAGGCTTGTGCTCGAGCCAGCGCATTTCCAAAGGTGAACATTACCATTTTAGCACGGAGCTGTTCAGGAAGGAGTTTTGGGGTATTTCCCATCTCCATCAGGAAGAGAGTGTGGGCATGAGGGTAAGGATAGTCCTTTCTGAATCCTGGCGAAAGGAAAAGAAGCAATTAATTAACCGATAATATTTCTTTTTGCCATCATGTGAAAATGACTTCAAATTAAACATGCTAAAAGTCACTTTTAATTAAAAAACACTGGCTGATTGACCACTGTAATAAATTACTTTCAGTTGTTGTTTTTCAGGAATTTGCTGTGAGTGATTGTGAATTAAGTCAGTGGCTGACCTGTGTCGTTCTTCTCCTGGTAAACATGTGTGTTCTGAAGGTCAATGGTGGGGGCAATGGGATAGAAGGTCTCCAGAGCCTGATCAGCAGTGCTCTGGATCTGCTCCTGTCCAGCCACCACCGGTAAAGGGGTCATGGAGTTCAACAGCAACCCATTCTGACCTCTGACCTGAAACACGTCCTCTCCTAGGAACAGATGGATTTTGCATATTATTTAACAGAAGTGGTTAAATAATGCATTTTTTATCTAAATACAGCTTTGTCAATAAAAAAAACTAATATATATATATACACATATATACATATACACACACACAAACATAATAAACACATAAATATATGTAAAGAATAATTAATTCTACATCCATTTTGAATACTACAACATTTTGAATAATTAAACATTCCAAATTTGGGATCAGAAAGCTTTTTTTTTTAATTGATACTTTTACTCAGTGTGTTGGAATGCTCAAAAATGACAGCAAATACATTTATCTTATGAAAGATTTCATATAAATGCTGTTTCTATTTCATTAAGGAATTCTGAAATCACTGTTTTCACAAACATATTAAGCTACACAGTTATTTTCAACATCGATAAGAAGAAGTTTCTAGACAACCATCATATATCTAGACAACCATCATTCATCATAGAATGATTTCAGAAGGATCATGTGACACTGAAGACTGGAGTAATAATACTGAAATTCAGCTTCGCCATCACAGGAATATATCACATTATATACTGTATATATATATATATATATATATATATATATATATATACACATATATACATATACACACATAATAAACACATAAATATATGTAAAGAATAATTAATTCTACATCCATTTTGAATACTACAACATTTTGAATAATTAAACATTCCAAATTTGGGATCAGAAAGCTTTTTTTTTAATTGATACTTTTACTCAGTGTGTTGGAATGCTCAAAAATGACAGCAAATACATTTATCTTATGAAAGATTTCATATAAATGCTGTTTCTATTTCATTAAGGAATTCTGAAATCACTGTTTTCACAAACATATTAAGCTACACAGTTATTTTCAACATCGATAAGAAGAAGTTTCTAGACAACCATCATATATCTAGACAACCATCATTCATCATAGAATGATTTCAGAAGGATCATGTGACACTGAAGACTGGAGTAATAATACTGAAATTCAGCTTCGCCATCACAGGAATATATCACATTATATACTGTATATATATATATATATATATATATATATATATATATACACACACTCAAGGCCTGGGCGATAAAACTGTATCGATATTTATCGACGGTACACCATCATCGATAGAATAAATGTTCAATATATCACACGATAGTTTCACGCTTTTTTCATTTAAAGGCGCGTGTTATGAGTGACAAGTAGAGAGCCAACAGAACACACAAACACGCTGAAATGAGTGCCGTGCCTGCCTGCGATGAGGAAAAAAAAAAGGATTATTAGTCAAATTTAAAATAAAAATTTGCATTCAAATGAAAAAAACGGTATATTTGACTTTTAGGTGTGCATCAGGGAGCCTTATCAGCGGTGCACGCGATGCGGTGAGGGTGATGTTGTTGCATTT